AAATTGGCAAATTCAATGGAAATTGCACGCGGAAGCTGCACACGGAAATGGTTGGGATGGAATCAAGTGCTTCTTAAATGTATGCAAATGGTATTAATGTAACAAAAACGTGCTAATAAAAGGTTAAAGAATAAGACTTAGATAAAGAACAATACATTAATGAAAGTAAAGGTGGATACGTAAATAGATAAAGAAAAGGATGAAGGCAAAGGTGAAAAAAATAAAAAATAAATAAAACTAAAAAAGAAAATAAAACTAAAAATAAATATAAATATAAAAACAAAAACAAAGAATTGTAAAGGTAAATGAAAAAATGGAGATCAAAGTAAATTTAAAAACTTTACTCATATAAGGGCAAAGGTTAAGGTGAAGGTGTATGCAGATGAAGAAAATGATAAACATAAAGGTAAAAACAAAGATAAACTTAAGAAAAAGATGAGGATAAGGATACTGATAAAAGTAAGAAGGAAGATAGAGGAAGAAAGATTAATATACAGGTAATTATAAAGAAAAGGATATATGTAGATAGAGACAGACTCAACCGGGAACTATTTAGGGATTTTCGGGATTCTCGGTATAATAATCGATATTTTTATTGATTTTGTTATCGAATTTGGTATCCACACTTTTATCAATCTGGTTATCGATATTTTTATCGCGTTTGTTATCGATAATTTTAGTAGTAGTAAGTAGTGAAAGAAAGATTAAAATAAATTGAATTATAAAGAAACGGATATATGAATGTATGTATGTATGTAGATACACAGACTCAACCTTGAAAAATATTTCGGCATTTTCGGTATTCTCGGGACTTATCGATTTTTTATGAATATTTTGTTATCAATTTTGGTATCGACATTTTTATCAACTTGGGTATCGATATTTTTTCGATTTTGTTATCGATGCTTTATGCATTTTTTTATTGATTTCGTTATTGATATTGTTATCGATTTTTGTAGATTTTGTTATCGATATTTTTTATAGATTTTGTTATCGATGCTTTATGCATTTTTTTATTGATTTCGTTATTGATATTGTTATCGATTTTTGTAGATTTTGTTATCGATATTTTTTATAGATTTTGTTATCGATGCTTTATGCATTTTTTTATTGATTTCGTTATTGATATTGTTATCGATTTTTGTAGATTTTGTTATCGATATTTTTTATAGATTTTGTTATCGATATTTTTATCGATTTTGCTATCTATATTTATTTTCGATAACTTTATCGGTTTTTTATAGATATTTTTATCGATGATACTATCGATTTTTTTTATCTATACACATGATGTGACATCATATGACAGAACATCGCATGATATGACATAATTTCACTTCACTTTTATAAGAACAATGGAGTATAAAGACAAAGGAATACACATTCCCACGACAGCCGGTTCTACGTACCGGAATGACTCGGGTTGAATAACATAAAAGTAATTAGAACGAAAAGGGTAAATGTAGGGATCTAGATAGAAAAACGATAAAATATAACCATAAGTAAATGTATACATATATGCATCGCCAAAAAAAAAGTTGCGGGTTTTGCGCAGGGATTACAAAATGTATTATAGTTTAAGACGTTCACCAAAATAATTCGGAAAAATATTAAGATTTAAGCGAGCTGGACCGATTTGAAAATACCTCCAAAAATGGAGTTTTTTATGAATAAAAATAGTTTCTTATAAAACTTTTTGAAAAAGGTTTCCTCAGATGACAAAGCAGAATACGTTTAAAAAATCTGCATAAAAATATTTACAAATATTTTCAACGGAATCGTAGTAATGAGATTTTTGATGCTATTTTTGTATCCTTTTCAAAGATTGATTTACGAAAAACTTAAATAACTGGGCCAAAACTATTCTGATTTAGACTTATGGGATCTCAGTAGAAAGGTATTATCCCAGTATTTCCCAGTTTTTGAGAAATTAGATTTTGAACTTCAATTGTGATTTCCCAAAAGCCTGCAAATGTAACATAATAATAATAATAATAATATATTGGCGCCAACACTTTTGCTAACTCAGCATTAATTTCAAAATAAATAACCCACCTGAAAAAATAGGCAGAAACACACCCACTGGTAGTATTTGTAGTGCTTCTTGTTGTGATCATCACCATCCGAATTGGCGATACCCGGATAGGGTACAGATATGCCCTGCTTCTTACCGAAATGATCACGTAACGTATAAGTCGAATGAATCCAACAATATGTATTGAGTACGTCTTCTGGAATATCTTTGGTATGAACACAATCGATAGGGTTGCCAACATATTGTCTTGTTGTTATAATCAAAGAGAAGGACATCAAAATCATCACAGTAATTGAGTAGTGTAGACGGAATACTGGCGAATCGGTTTTAACGTGACTGACCTTTACAAGGTTTTTCAATCCACGAAATATATCTAACATTTTTCGCTAAACGGCAACGCAACGCGAAATAAATGACTAAAATTGTGGATTTGCTGTGGATCTCCAAGTGTTCATGTGTATGCGTGTGTGTGCGTATCTAGTAGTTTTTATTTTATTTTATTTTAAATTTCACTTGACTTTTGTGCATTTCTTTTGTTTTTGTGTAATTATGAAAGTTCTTTCGTCGAATTGTTTCGTTGCGAACTGGAGGCAGAGGAGGCAACAAACCAATTTGTGGTTATCGTCTCGTTGTGCGGCAGTTCTTTCTCTTTCTCGCCGGTCCCATAGTTTTGTTGTGACGTATGCAGAAATCATGTGGATTTTATTATATTTTGCAGATCCCCTCCTGCATTTTTTTATTATTATCGTATAATTTTTTGTTTTATTCACTTCAAAATTCAAGACAGCGGCGTAAAAGCACTTGAAATTTTTATGGTTTTGTGTAAATGAATCGTGCTTGTTCGTGAGTTTTAAAAAATGTTGCATTTTAAATGTTAAAACTTGTTCGTACATTCGCTATATTAATATGTACGTATATGTATGTAGGTATGTAAGTGGCAGCTGTAACACTTCACATTATTATTTCGTTTTCGACTTGGAAAAGTTTCATAAAATAAGGCACACTAAAATTGGCCGACTCGGTGCTGCTAAAGATAGAATATGGGGCACTTATGATTTCATATTTCGAAGCTCTTACGAAGTATTGAGTTAATTAAAAGTTTAAAAAATATACTATGCGAGTGTAATAAAATATGATAAGTTAAAAAGACAGTCTTTAGTGAATCATCGCTATTGACCTAAGAAAAACCTGCCGATTGTACCGGTGAGGCCAAAGTAAACGTCTGTCTTAGGCAAAAGCTAATGGTCCCTACATGAACGCACCGTACACCAAAATGGCCCCAGAATTTCATTGTACAAAGGGTTTGGGAAATGTCACGAAAGAAAAACTACCAATGAAAAGAACAAAGCTACCTCGGATGGTTATCCTTCATTTAAGATTCGAGAGAGTAAACCTTTAGGGCTGGTTTCTCCATCTCAACTTAACTTAGTTAAGCCAATTTTCTTGACTTAGTCATGAATAAGCTGTGTAAAACGTAGGCTAACTTTTGACTTAAGTCCAAAAAGTGGCTAAACTAAGTTAAGTTGAGTTGGAGAAACCAGCCCTTAATGTCGTCCACATTCAAAAGGTAAGAAGCTCGCTCCGAGATTAAATTTTTAACCTCTGAGATCGCCTTTCTGAGAAAAACATTGACATCTACCATATCCTATCCTTAAGGTAATGGGCAAGGAAATTCGCCAGCCTATAACATTTTTCATACCTTCTCCTTCCTTGGCAAAGGTACTATATATCTACATGGCAAATTTCATTTAAATCGGATCTCAAATACTATTTTTTCACAGCTTTTATGGGGATCTACCTGTCTGTGAAAGATAAACACAAGGCTTACAGATTATAGCAGCTGGAAGATGATCCAATAGTTTACCAGGGTTGGATGAACGCTGGAATCGCTCCTTGGCATGGCACATGTTGGTAGTTACTTTCTCCATAAAATCATGCAAAATTCTTTAAATCATTCTCGACTCGGAAAGGACTGGGAAAAATAATCAAATCCTATTGAGCGGAAACGACCATTCAACTAGGTATTAAAGATGAAAATAAATCCAACAAAAATCGATCATTTAATTGGCAGTGTTGAGTCGTGACATGGCGGTTCGAGTTGTTACGTAAAACTACGATCATACAACACTGACTTCAAGCGACCTTTGAATACTACTGATACGAATTTCCCACGCGCTAACAACTTAGTTGGATATTTCAAAACATTTCGAAATTTGAACTCTCTGCTTCTCTCACACCACTGTGCGGAGCTTCTTATTTTTTGGCGCAATCTAGTTTGGTACAAATTGTACGCCGCTATGGAGAGAAAAAAGGGGCCACTCCATAGTCGAGCAATGGGACAACGATATCCGGAATTGAACAGGAAAGTCAAACATACCTGCCGTTGGAAAAAAAATTTGGCTAAAACGCTTGAGTGCGAAGAGCTCAAAATTCAGGCCGACTTAGAAAGTTTTTCTCTGCTTGTCAGGTGAGAATTGCCTGAACTCTTACCATTTGGATATGTGAAAACAGAAGCTGTATGAGTATGTAATTGAAATCGAATTCCTCGTGTAAAAATATTTAATTTTGGCCAAAATACTGAGCCTGAATTAGGTAGGGCAAAATCTAAACTTAATTATTTTTGGGTTCCTTTTCCAAGTTGGGAGTTTGAAATTTCTTTGGACTTGGCATATACGCCATTTTCTTAAACTTTTGTTTAAAAAAATACGTCTGCTTATGCATATATATGTACATACGTATGTACTTATGTTACCATTACGAAATTTCGTCAACTTTCTATAGTTTCGGAGGAACACCAGGGCAAAGTTTATTTTTCAACCTGCGTGCAAATGTAAATATTTACAAGTTTTGTTGATTTTTGTTTTCATTTTTGAAGGAAACCAAACACCCAATTCACACACATTTCTAGCACTACCGAGTGGTATTGTGCAGTTTACACAGTGTTACAAGGGCAAATTTGTATGTAAATATCTATAGATATGTATGAGCACATGCCCACAGTTTTTTGTTCCTGCCATTGTGAAATTTTAAGCAAATAAATGAACTAATTTATTGCTGATAGCTGGTATATAGTTTGCTACAAAAAGTGATATATGGAGTTTCCTTTCCTATAATTTTTTTTTTTTTGCAATGCAAGACATTAAGCGCGGAATTTTTGTGCTCTTTTCAAAAACGGTAATTTTTTTACGAAAACAAAAATTACGTTTGCCATTGTTACCATTAATACGTATATAATTTTCTTAATAAAAAAACTGAAATGGTTCAAAGACAAAAATATACTTTTGTTAAAATTTCAATAACAAGCCATGAATGAATATGAATATCAGTGAAAATTTGCCCACGGGATATTTTTTTTCTTGAGTGTCTATTTTAAACATATTTATGTATGTTTTCAAAAAATACTTAAGCATGTATCTACCATAGACCGTTGTGCCTGCGTATGAGTGTAATACGAGTATAGTCAATTGATTAATTTATTTTGATAAATAAGTAAATAAGAAGTCTATAAATTCAGCGACCCCAACTGGAATAATTTTTGGAACAGCACTAAACCACGCAATCTACGTCATGATAAGCTTATAAAAAACAACACAAATTTCAATTAGTATGTTTATAACTCTTGCGTAATCAGCGGTCATAAAACTTGTGTGGAAAGATCTCATGGATTCGCGTGTTCCCCATGTACACTGAATCAGAATACTAACATATATGTACATGTACATTAGACTGTTCCAAGTTTATTTAAAAAAATAAAATAAAATTTTTTGCAAATATTGTATTTATTACAAGGCCGCAAAACCAGATTTTTTCTAGTAGTAGTAGTAGTACAATTTTTGTATGACCTGAAATGTTGCAATTGTAGAGCATTTTTTGTGGTCTGACAGGGCGTATAAGGAACATTAAATTATTAAATTCAACTTTTATAACAAATGCTTTTCCTCCTTTTAAAAAAATTGCTTTCATTTTATTAAATAAATAGCGTTTAACCTGTATTCTCTGGTTGATATAATGGTTGTAATTTTGTATGACATCGCACGTTTAATGATATAGAGATGTGTCCTCTCAGACCAATGAAAAAATTATCTACAATTGCAAGTTTTCAGGACATACACAAATTTTTATACGAGAAAACTACCTTCGTAATAAACAACAATTCGGAGATCAGCAAAAATTACTTTAGGCAACAAAATACCTCCGTTATTTTGAATTTTTTATCTTTAATATCCTGAAATATATTGATAGGATTTGAATTAAACTAAGATTCTTCAAAATGCATTAAAAATTAAAAATCTTGAAGCATAGTATTTCTAAAGGAAATTTTTCACATGTTTCAAAAGAATAATTGAAAAAAAAAATTTTAGTTAATCTTGTTTCGAATTCTTCTTTCAATTGAAACCCACCTATATACATATATACTTATATAAATATATATGTTACCGTCTTATACAGAAATAAATGAGCAAATGGACAAAACTCGCGGCTCCGTGTTACATTTTATGGAGCTGATCACGTAGATAATGATGTTGAACTTGCAGTTACAGTTAATCAGATATTGAGAAACCGGCCCTTATTCTAAAAACTTTGACTGCAAGTCCGCACGTGTTGCCGTGGCCCGAATTTCCGGAAATTTTATTAGGATCGTTTTTAATACAAAACCAATGAAATGAGGGCGTAAGCTTTAGTTAAAAACAACTTGGGTCTTTTTTAGGACAGGCTAATATACATACATATATGGTTACATTAAAAAAGCATGTGGCATGCAAATCTAAGGAATGCTTTCTTGTTCAAAGGTCGAAGCCAATTAATTCCGATTTTGCACTGTTTGACGATTAGCTTTTATTTGTTTGCTACTCATTGTTTTTTTTTTTTCAAAATAAGGAAATAATTTTTGGCTATTTAGTTAGAACAAAATTGAACGCATCTTGTTTTGTGCTGCTTATGGTCAGCATATTCGCAAANGTTTCTGAAATAAAAAGCGCTTTTTGATTTTGACTAAATTTAGCTGAGTTTTAAATCATACACATGTCTTCAGAACGAAAGTAGACAGAGCAAGACCGAAATCAGCACATAAAAATTGGGTAGGCATTCCTCAATAAGCTAAAGAGTGTGTGACAGTCATTGATCAGATATAAATCGGTTACGTAGACACGAGTTTCGAGGGTATGTCGCTGAAAAATGTTACAAATTTAAAATAAATCAGCGCAAGGATTTTCTTTTCAAACTAAAGCGCTTTGCAGGGCATTTTCGAAAAAAATAATTTTTTGGCCGGACCTATGGGTCGCCTTTTTCCATTATTCGGTGACGCCTGCATTCGGCAATAAAAAAAGAGTTTAACGGAATAATCGCAAGGCTTCCTTAGCAAAAGTTTAATTTTTTTTTATTTTATTTGCTGAAATTAGAGCTGTACCTTATAGTAATAAAATCTAAGATCTGGTAGGTAAGTATTAGAACAAGGCACTTGAGGTCAATGAACTTTGAAAGGAAACCAATTGCCTCCCTGAGACAAAAACACAACGACTACTTTGATATCCACTGTAAATTCCGAAGATAAAAATGTAAATAAATAGGCAAACCCTACGTTCGAACCGGGAAAGAAAACCATATTTCGTAGCTAAATGAAAAGAGTACAGATAGTTGAGTCTT